TACTACTTACTACTTGTGAAACACCTCAAGTGTCCCAAATATTATAGAGCACATCTTAGTATGGTGGTTGAAGAGCAAAACAAAAAGCCCTTTTCAAGTAATTTTATAATTCATAAATCAGTAGCTTTCAAGCATTATAATCACTTGAAAAATCCTCTAAATATAGTGGGGTATAGGGCTAACATAGATGATGGATGATGCCATGATGGACTGAACAAATTGCCAATCAGATCAGCTGGTTCCTTATCTACAAGTCCGATGGTTTGTCTCATCCAACTTGGCAAGATGGGTTCCTTTACCATCTTCTCATGCCTCATTTTCAGTTTTGAGTTTATGTTTTCAGATCTATTGCCTTGCATGGGTGAAACCGGATTCAATCAGTACAAGGTCCGTTCGAACAGCCATCATAATCTTACTTTGAGAATATCTCCTTATGAAAAAAAATACAGAAATATAGAGATATTTTCGATGCAAGGCTGTAAAGATTATTGGAACGGTGTTTGAATGAGCCTTGCACTGGAAGCTGATCTCTGTATGGGTTGGATTTTCTTAATAATTTTCCTCTCTAAATAAAACCCCGAGCATGCTTGGCTTGGTATTGGGCATTGGGTTTGGTTAGTTACAGCATTCACACTTTCTTTCTGGGTTTGCACGAAGTTGAACTTTTTTGTTGGCTTGTCCAGTTGTCTGAACTGTGTCATTTATAAAGGCATAATGAATGGTCTATTCAATACCCAGTGCTCACTTTACATCTCATCTATATGCAGCTCGTTCTGATCTCGGGTGTTGTTCTTTTGTTTCTGGGTTTGCTTAATTGTTTGCTCGTCGGATCTTTCTGTTTCTGTTTATTTGATATTGATTTTGTAACTGAGCATGAATTAATGAAATTCACCTTTTATCACTTCAAAAAATAGAAATACATTTGAATCATGTGTTTATTTTTTGTAAAATAGGACATGTAGGGGTAGATTTGAGCCGAGCCGAGCCGAATAGTATAAGGTTTGAGCTCAGTTTGAGTTAAAACCTTGAATTTGAGCTCAGTTCAAGTCAAAACCTCATAAGCTCGAGTTCGGCTTGAGCTCGAAAAAAAATATTTTATAAAAATTAAAAATTATATATAAAAAATATTTTTTATTTGATATTTAAAAAATAAGAATTATAATATTTTTATTATATTATATTATATATTATAATATATATTTGAGCCAGCTCGTGAGGCTCACGAGCCGAGTTTTATTAGACTCAAGCTTAGCTCGTTTATTAATCGAACCTATAATACGGGCTCAAGCTCGATTGAAACTGAGCAGAACTCGAACCTAATAGAACTCGGCTCGTGGCCACCCCTAAGGACGCATAAAAAATGTTGCAAATTGAAACACTTATCTATTATTTATATCATATGTGGAACTAAAAACTTTATTTTTCTCCACTTTCAATTTTGTTTTTTTATGAAGGCACTATACTAGTTTGTTTGTAAATTCTCCTATTGGTTGTAACAGAGACTTGGGACGGGGTTAGAGGATCTAGTTGTTTGGACTTTGAGGTAAATAATGCTGTCCGGTATGAGGTATTCCGAATTGAGGACGTAGTCAATCATGGACTTGTAGTAAGATGTAGACTAAAACTTGCATTCAGAGTCTGACCAATCAAAACCACTACAGAATTTTTTATGAATTCTCGTTATGCCTTAATACGATGCATTAACTGTAAGAGATCCGGACTCCATTTTATGTCCTAATGTGACTGGATTTCCCTAATTAACTTAGGCCATGTTATGCGTAGTTTAACCAAATACCCTAACACAACCCTCAAGTGGCCTATTATAAAAATGGAGAAATTCTCAATCAGTACCTGTACTTTAGTTCGAGTAATGATTTGGTCTTCGGACTTTAAAATGCGATAATTCAGTATTTAAACTTTCAAAATGTAACAATCAAGTATCCGAACTTTCAAAATGTGACAATCCAATACATGTCATTAACCAGTCTGTTAATTATCCGTTAAGTGACATTTGAAAATTTAAAAATGCCCTTTAAATGCCATCTAATTCTCTTTATCAACCATCCAAACATTGACAATAAAATGAACAGTCTCAAATTCTATATTCTTCTAAATAGTCACCAACTTTTTTTGAATAGAAGAAGCTATGATTTGGGATTGTTCAATTTTTTGTCAACGTTTGGATGATTGTTAAAGAGAATTAGATTGGCATTCAAAGGAAATTTTTTACTTTTCAAATGTCACTTAACGGTTAATTAACGGACTGGTTAACGATAGGTACTAGATTGTCACATTTTGAAAGTTCGGGTACTGGATTGTTGCATTTTAAAGTTTGGGGACCAAATTGTCACTCGAGCCAAAGTACAAGGTACTGATTGGGAATTTTTCCTATAAAAATACACTCAGACACCTGTTTGCTATTCGCTTTTTGGTAAATCATCTGTCCGAATAAATGCATTTACTTAAATAAGTGTTTTCCAAGAATGACTTATCTGGGTAAGTGCATTTACCCATGTTCTTTTATTTCTCATACAAAAAAGGTAATACCATTTTAGTCATAAAAATCTATTACTTCCCCCTCGCCCCCTCCCCCGAGGTGGAAAAGGTATTTAGTTATTTACCCACCTAAGAGATGGGTATCACTAAACCGGGTAAGTGATACCCGGAAAAATAAACTTTCCTTGATCCCCACATAAATCTGGAAAAAAAAAAAAGAACATAGGTTTCTTGGTTAATGGGAATCAAAATCCCATTCACCAACTTTCCCCTTTTAAAAATCCAAAAAAAAAAAAAAGAAAGCCCCCTCAAAGTGCAACTAAAGTCCAGTGGTTAGCAATCCGTCAATTAGCTAGATTCGGCACCTTGAAACATTCAAAAATATGAAAACTACCCTTTGTATAATTAGTGAGATCATTTTGCCCTCTCCTTGAGCCTTTAAAATTTTAGTTCTTAACCTCTCCTTCCATATTTTCTTTCTCAAATTTGCAAAAAGGGGCAAGCATTAACCATGTATGCTTTTGTCAGTTTATAACTCTGTTCTCTCAGTTATTCAATAAATGAATGGATATTTGGGAAATGCATGTTTTGGGATATAAAGGAGTTTTGGTGCAATTATCAGGGATCACCATGGACGTTTTGTGGTTGCCTGTCTTGAGAAATGCCAGGTCCTTTCTCGTTTGTTCCCTCCAGGCAAAATCTTTTGTAGATGCTCTAAGTCTCGAAATCTGGAGATAGATGTTGAAACTTTCTTTCTGCTGAAGGGCATTCAGACCTTTGGGAGGTCTCTGTCCCTAAACAGAGTTGCTCACGAGTCGGCAAGAAAAGGCTTTAATGATCGGGGTGTTTTTGTTCAGGAGTGCCCGATCTGGCTTCAGGAGCTTCTGGATATGGATTATAATGCCTAGTTTTTGTTTTTCTTCGTTTTTCTCCTTGTTAATTTTGATCTGTTTTATTTTCTTTGTTTAAGACCTGTTATCTTTGTATCCTTTCCGGAGCTTTGGCTCCCTTTGAATGGAAAGCCTTGATTCAAAAGAAAATGGATATTCTAATAAATTTATCATTAATCATAACATTCGATTAACGGGACAGAGTTAGAGTGTTGACTTTAGAAAGTATAAGGTACCTCAATTTGGCAAGTTAAAGTTGGAACCCTTTTAAGTGGCAGGGGAGTCAATTGTACTGGATTTGATCCAATCCATTCCAGTTCAATTCAATCCAATAAATATTTTGGACCAGTTTAATTTAATGTCTGAACCATTCAATCTATTTAAATTATTTTTAATTTAGATTGGTTTTAACCCAAATCTGATCTATTAACACATATATTCTTATGATTGCACGTTCTGGTCGTAATAAATTGCATATTAATATGGTTTTGGTATTCTAATTTCAAAATTGTGTAAATTTAGCATTTGTGTTGTTATTTTAAAAAATAGTGTTACATCAGCGTCATGTTATAAAAAACGGTGTTTTAGAAAATAGTCATCTGTTTGAAACTTTTTTTTATAGAAAACGATGCTCTAAGTTATACCATGAAAATCGGAAAGGTATAGTTCCAAGCAGCACCAAATTTAATATTTTCTGGAGGTGCAGTTCGTTGCTGCCAAATGGAGTATAAATTCTAGTTTAAGATAAATTTATATTCTAATTTATCGTAAATTTGACAACATTACATTTATGTATTGACAAATAACAGAGCAATGCATATTTATATTAATAATAAGATATAAATATTCTTTTTCCAGGTCACCATCCAATAAGATACAAATAACAGAGCAATACGTCCAACATCCAATTATTCAACTTTTATTGGTTGGTGGAATGGAACGTTGGGTACCCCCAAATTCCAATTATTAGATTTGCCAGGTCACCATCTAACTTCAACATATATTTCGTCTCTAGCTTCATTTTACGGTGCATATGAATTTCACGCCCCACACCCCAGGTGCTACTTTGGTTTACTTCTATTTTTCTGCTCCCTGCTACAACATACTATTATTCGTTCATATAGACACCTGTGGACCCTCACGGCATCTAATATGGTCTTGTCTCTTGTGACACTCTATCACGTCAACAATTTTTTCCCTACCTTTTTCAGTCTCTAATCACCATCTGATTAGTACACAGCCTTGATAACAAGATGCATTCACACTATAAAATTGACAACTAATGTGATTCGTGTGTACCTGAAACATGCAAAGATTTGATAGGACAAGGAGGTGGACAAAGTGGGGCTGTGCAGCTTCGATATAACAATGATATCCATCTGGTAGGAGGCAGGTACCTTTCAAAGATGACCAAGATTGAACCTTATTGCAACACTTGTGTCTTATCAACGGCTATCGAGCGGTGTGCAGTGGAACTTTGCTGTTTGCTGGTTATGCAGGTAGTTGATGGACTTCCAAAGAGCTAATCAACGACGGCCCACATTTGATGTGTCTATATATCCTTGTTTGGCAAATATGGGACAATGTGGTCTCTTAACTTGTACTATTCTTCGATCTTCATCATCATGCGCTAAATCTTTGCTTCTCCCTCTCTCGTTCTCACTCACTACTACCTTGTCCTTAAAACAAATATCCGTCCCTTTTTAGGATGGCTGGCTTCTCCCTCTCTACCCCTCCCCCTCCAAGTTGATGTTGTGACTTGTGAAAATTAAAGAGGAATACAAGAAGGAGCGAACCTCTCCAGTGATGTCTGGCAGCAGAAGATCTGAAGCTTCACCGCTCACACAGGATGAGATTAACGATCTTGTCCTCAAATCACAGGAATTATTACCAGAAATTCGTCGGAGGGCTGCAACCGGGGTAGGTACATACAATTCTTGCTGTTTTTCTTTATCTTCCTCATGCCTCATTTCCTGGCTAAAGGGTTTCTGAAAATCTTGGTGCGAATTGTAGTGAGTTGAGTTGACACTGCACATAAACTTACGTGCAATACAATGTACACTCACCGGACGAACTTGGGTCTGTTACTTGGATAGCTTGGGTGGGCTGAAAAGCTTGAGATTCAACTTGGCCCCAATAATAGAAATTAAAATACAGCACATATATAGTCCAATTCCGCACAGAAATCATTTAGGATTTTCTCGAACTGGGTCATCTTGAGTTGCCCAAAACTTCAACCTAAAGCCAGAAGAAACCATAGCCATAGGTGAAGCCCAACAATCAGCATGTGGTCTGAAATGGCATCCCCTACCTCGCCTAAAAAATTTGGTAGGGTGGAGGCAATCTAACATCGAATCGTTACCGAATTTCCTAATATGACGATGGGAACAGGGAATATATATAGCAATATATGAATAAGATGAACTGCATGCGCATACGTATTATACCAAAGAAAGGATAATATATATATATATATATATTATGTATTAATGCTTGACAATATTGGGTTTACATTAATCTAGGTAACGGCATCAGAGATTCTGAAAGAGATATGCAATTACATAAAGAGGCTAAAGAGAGAGGTGGACGGCCTAAGTCAGAGACTCTCGGAACTAATGGCTTCTATCGGTACCAACAGTCGTGAGGAAGAAATCCTAAGAAGTCTACTTATGCAAGAATAACTTCTCCTCAAACATCATAAGAAGTGTGATTATGCCAGAATAGCTTCTCTGTGTTGTGGTATGGTACAACATCTAACTTTTTAGTTTGTTCTCCAACGTTTTGTTAAATTGGCCAATGGATCAACTACTATAAGATGAAGATGAAGATATATAAGTTATATAAGTTAAATTGGCCAATGGATCAACTACTATAAGATCAACTACTATATATATAAGTTATATATAAGATATATAAGATATATATATATATATATATATATATATGCCTTCTGCCCTTCATATGTATGTTTGACTGTCGTGCTTCTGTGCAGAGAAAGAAAGATAGTAGATTAGAAAGCCCACGTGAGGGTTATTTATCTCCATGATTCAACCAGAAAGTAAAAGCGGCTTTTAATTTCTCAATATTTCAATAATAATCCCTATTTGGTGTATTTACCAAGGGATATTGCATAAGGCTTGAACTATTGTGACAGTTTTAGGCTTTTAGCTCAAAGTGTAGATCGTAGTCCAGGACCCACAATGAACCACTGAAATAATAATATTATTAATATCAAAGAGGAATGTTGTTTGTGATCAGAGAGCACTTGTACAAACAAAAAGTGAATTTGCCCAAAAGCTACCAACCAGATTCGTAAGGTGTAATAGTTTCTGATTTTTGAGTTTTGACTTTTTGAGTATGACAGAGGTGACAAGGCATATACCACTGGCACACTAGGAACAAGGAGGATGTATGCCTTACCGAGGATTAATACTCACTCCATCCCAAGTGAATGGAAACTACGGCCTGTTTGATGCGTCTTTTTTGAGATCTTCTTATAGTTCTACAGTTAAAATATACATTGAGCTTTTGATATAAGATGTAGACAGCCCGAAGATAATTTGGCAGATGTGTGTTTTCATGCGTCTATTCAATTTTTCTGTGCAAGATTAAAATGTGAAAGACGTGGATTAAAGTTTTATTGAAGCTTTCTGAAATCAGCCTGAAATGGGCTTTCGTGTCTTTTGGGTGCACTCTCTTTTGACAACTAAATCTTAAAATCAATATTCCCAACTTGTAAACAATCAAAAGACCATGCGAACACGCCAAACAGGCCCTACATCTATTCACTCTACACAAGCCACGCCAGCTATCACCTTTTAACTTGTTGAATGTTAGTTGATAAGATGTCTAGATATAGATATACTGATGTTGTTTTCAATTGAATATCTGGATATGTAAGCAAATCTTCTTTTTTTTGGTAAGCAAATTAGTCGAATTTGAGTCTGTGTTCATATATCCTTCGGATATCAGATGTCAGATGATCTACCCGTGTCAAAATTCGATCCGATTCGTTTGCAACCTATACTTGTAGCTGTCAGTTTGTATTTGCTCATTCAACGAATTAAGGAACGCATAAGCTATTACATCTATGGCAATCGTCCTCCCATAGCAAAGGGTGCTCCATAATAGCAAAACCGATTTTTTTTCATATGATTTTTTTTCGGAGGGGGGGTAGAAAGATCGAACGGAATTATAACATTCAAGAAAATAAAAGAAATAGAAGACGACGAAAAATCTCTAGGGAAGCTATTGTAGCATTTACACGAAATAACAAGACCTCTGGAAAACAAGAAGAAGAAATAGATTTGACAATTAATCCAAGTCTATGTACGGTAAACCGCTGCTTTCTTTTCGAGTTGCCGAACGATCCAACCCGTCTAGAAGGACAAAGGCAGAGAGAAACAAACATCTTAAATTCTACCTTAATCCTCATTCTTCTCTTGTAATTTCTCGCCTGTTCCTGCGCAAGTTGTCTAAAAAATTAAAAGATTCTCATCGATTCACATCTTCATATTAGACTGAAATACTACTATTCAAACACAGAAATCCATAGAGGCAGTGCAGTTAAAACTTAAAACCGCAATAAGAATTGAAATTCTTCCTCTCCATACACGGTTTATGTTTTGCAGAAGTAGAACTATGTCGATTTTTTGAGCGACTGCATATCAAAGGAATATCCCTTGCCCTGCCCAACCTTATTCCCCGGATGTAAAATTTTCCAGGAAACATATATATATAAAATTTTCCCGTGACAGAGCGTTATTAATATGGACATCATCTGTGAAGAATAATGGAAAAAAGAAAGGATCGCTTTCGAACCTTGAATTAATGAAGAGCGGCCGTCTTGCCGCTAAGTGGCGAACAAGGCAGGATGGGCCTCGCTATCATAAATCTGTCCATTTGAGAAGTCAGATTTTGAATAGCGAGCTTTTCCTTTAGACCTTTAGCTATGTCCTCACCGAGGTGTGAATCTTCTTCTCTGATCTTCAGCACTTGATGATGAATGATACATTTCCAATTTGCCACCGGTTTGAGGGACATCACATTCTCCGGCGATTCCTCGCTCCGTTGATAACCTTCAAGACTCGTAGAATCAACCTTTGTTGGAACCGKCCCTTCTGTATCCATGTCGATAACCGAGCTTCCAAGATTGCTGACATTCTGCAGAACACGACGAGAGCACTGGTCTCCAGATTCTTTCGCAGGCTCTGCTTTCATTTTTTTTACCTAAGCCGAAGAACCAAGAACAGGGATTCTTTCTCTCAATCTGCAACTCCTTAGCTGAGTAGCTGTGGACGAAGCAAGGAGATTGTTGGGTTCCCGCAGGCGCTGGTTTCGCCTTGAAAAATCAATGAGTTGGTCATCATTTTTCGTCTTCCAAACCTATTGTCCTTCTTCTTCAAGAAGAGAATATATATATAGAGAGAGAGAGAGAAATAAGAGAGAAGTTTATGCACTGCTACACAGGTGCTTTGTATTGGTGGAGCTTCCTTCCTTATAATTCACGCGTCGTGAGAGGAAGAGAGAGTCATGTCCTGCGTGAAGCTTCTAAGACGCATACGCGTGACTGCAAATCTGCAACCGTGAAACAGTGAGAGGCTGAGAGCGTAGTCACGTGTGATCTGAATATTACATCTGGACGACCGGTAGTTAACCGTCTGATTCGTGGGCCACCCAGACGTTGGTGTTGTAAGTTGCGATAGAAATAATCTCGGCCTTTCATTCTTGTCGCCACCTTGATCATCGGATCTCCTTTTGGGCGTTTAACGCCGAGTCCAGACTCCACACTCCAGAGTAGTGAAGCAGCTCGAAGTCCTGGGCTCCTAGCTTGTTTTGCTTAATTTGTTTTCCACTCGCAATCTTTATTTTGAATTTTCCCAAGTAAGCCCTCAGTGAAATGGTCAACATTTTAAATGGGATCGTGTTAGGACTTGGAGGCAAATCCGTTCCTCGTCGGTACAATTCACCTCAACTTTAATTGCAAAATGATCGGATCACATTGCACTAAAAAGTAAATTTAAAAAAGCCACGCGGCAAAACATGTAATCACGAATAAATTTGTTTGGGTAATTTGCTAAAATCTCTCCTGAATTTCTGACAGATGCTAAATCCCCCGTGGTTGGTAATTGTAATCACTTTCCTTCGATTTTCAGACACAGTTGCAATTAGACCATTTTATTAGAAAAAAATAAGTGGTGTAAAAATGTCCGAAGTATTCATGCAATTACTATTAACACTGGTTTCTACATAAAAATAATAATAAAAAAAAATCAAAGTTGCAGTTTTACCTTTGATCGATTGATATGAAAGGTAAATTTAGAAAATAAATAAATTTCAGAAAATAGAATGTAAGAAGGATTTAGTCATTTAGGGCCAGGGCTAAACTTTAAAATTACCATTTGACATATTATTGTACCCCTAATCTGTAAAAGTTTCAGAATTTGTGCTTTTAAAGTCCAAAAGCACAAAGCTCATGAGGCCTAAAAATGTGTTCACTTGGTTGTTTTTAACGCAATTTTGTTTCTGATCAACCCAAAGTTCAAAAAGCAAAAGATTATTATCCAACCGAAGTCTATAAATCCTGTTGAAGCAGCCCTCTGTTCAAAGCCTCTTAACCCAAGTTTTTCATTCATTTTATAAAGAAAAATAAAATAGTGCCGGCTTGGCATATATATAGTTCCATTGGATATTAGAGTTGAAAACAGACAGCCATATAGAATTGAGATACAATCATGGTTTTTAAAACCGAATCAGTCAGGTGTTTGATTATCGGTTTGAACGATTCAACCGTTTAACCCAAATGATCGGTTTGTTCTGACAAAAAAAATTAAAAATGATCAAAACTATTCGAATGATTAATCGGTCAGTTCAACAATTTGCTAACCAAAATCAACAATTTTGGGGAAAAAACAATTTTAAAGAAAAACAGAACCAATCAAACTATCAATTCCTGAATTTTCCAATCCGACCATCCGGTCCGATCCAGTCCGATTTTGAAACCATGAATACAATCCTTTCAAAATTCAATTCAGAGTACTAGCGCGTTTAATTATTGCCATACTTGGAATATTGGCGCCATCCACGAGTTTTGCAATGTTGACAATTAATTGTTTCACAAGACCCATGCATTTTAACTACTGGGCCACCACGTACCATAGACAAAGTCACAAAGCAACCAAATAGTGAAAATGAGAATAAAAGGGACTATCACTTGGGCTACCAAATAAATTTATATTACTATATAGTAAAAATGAGAGTAAGAGGATCTATCACTTTGGGCTACCATAATAATTTTTATTTTCTATTATTATAATAATACAATTTTAAAAAGCTTACGTGATGTTTGGCATTGATAATGATTTCTCCTTGCCGATTATTTAGAAATCAGTGATTTAAGAAAAAAATTATAAAAAATTATTGTTTGGTATCATTTATGTCATGTAAGTAGATTTTTTAGAAATAGGCTTTAAATCTATTTGGTACTGATTTTAAAGGATTGATTATTTTTGTATTAGAGTTATTATTCAATGCCACGTTGGATGTCATGTCATCCTCAAAAAATTGGAATCAAGGTTTTAAAAGCTAATTCGAAAATGGAACTGTTCTGGGCACCATTTTCTGGTTCGGTGGTTCAATCGTACGGGTCAAACGGTTTGACCTATGACGTCATAAATAAATCAAAAAACAAAAAAAAATATTTATATATAATAAAAAATATCATAAAAATTAAATAAAAT